ATTCGTAATCAGCGACCCTAAAAACCCCCGAGTGACAAGTTTCAAGTGAATTCGATGAAATTTTGTACAACTCGTCCGCCATATTGGATCCGCCATTTTGAATTTTTGAAAATGAAGTTTATATTCGTAATCAGCGACCCCAAAAACCCCCGAGTAACAAGTTTCAAGTGAATTTGATCAGTTTTAAAAAATAAGTCCGCCATATTGGATCCGCCATTTTGAATTTTGAAAAAGTAACATCAGATTCGTAATCAGCGACCCCAAAAACCCCCGAGTGACAAGTTTCAAGTGAATTCGATGAAATTTTGTAAAACTCGTCTGCCATATTGAATTTTTGAAAATGAAGTTTATATTCGTAATGAGCGAGCCCAAAAACCCCCGAGTAACAAAATTCAGGCGAATCCATTGACTTTTGGGCAATTTGACCAATATTGCCCAAAATTTTTAAATTTTACTTTAGATTTGACGCCATATTGGTCCGACAACTTGAAATTTTTAATTCTACTTTACGGTTCTTGAAAGTGTATAATTTTTATGCACCGATGGTTGAAAATAGAATTTTATTCTTACACTTTTTCAAGGTGAAAAAAATGTCAAACTTGAAAAAATGAATTTTTTTTTGTGTTTTTTGACATTAAAACCGCCATACTTAATTTTGATTTGGACGAAATTTATTTTTGACACCGGTATATTTTTATATGGTTAATTTTAAAAAATCCATCAAATTCTCTTTGGTACTGAGTGGTTTTCGGAGTATCTAAATGTAAAATAAAAATCGGTTAAAAATGATTATTTTTTATAACCGATTTCTAAATTTTGTTGTAATCTTCACTTGTCTTTTATCATATCCAAAGCTCATTAAAATTATCCAGTAATTTTTAAGAAAAATACATTTTTTATTTTGCTTTCTCCCTTAAACTCTATCAGAACACCACCGCTACGTCTATACCTTCAAGGTAATTTCTAAATAAATTTCTAAAGATATTAAGGGGACATTCCAGTTCAAAATGTCAAAAAAATCGATTTCTTTTTGTTTTTATATTCGGATTTCTTATAGTGTCAAGAATACTCTCCTAAAATATTATTGCAAAATTCAAAGTAAAACAAAAGTTATACATCCTTATTCTTCGCCATGTCAAAGATGTTTTTGTATGCGGATAAGCAATCGAATGATTTAAATGTTTTCTTATTTGCATTTTTTAAAAAAGACAAACAAAAATGTATTTGGTGTTGCTGATCACAAATTAGATATCAAATTTTCAAAATTCAAAATGGCGGATCCAATATGGCGGAAAAGAAAATTTTTTGATTTTAATTTTTTTTTCGTTTAATTTTTTTTTCGTCCACCATATTGCATCCGCCATTTTTAATTATGAAAAAATGATGTCATATTCGTAATCAGCGACCCCAAACCCCCCCCCCTGTAACAATTTTCAAGCAAATCCAATGATTTTAAAAAAAAATGTCCGCCATATTGGATCCGCCATTTTGAATTTTAAAAATCTGATTCTATATTCGTAATTAACGACCTCAAAAACCCCCAAGTAACGATTTTTAAGCAAATCCGATGATTTTTTTAAAAAAATTTCGAAACTTATGAACAAAAACTTAAAATGCGTTTTTCTCAAAATGTCTTTTTTTGATCTGGAAAGAGTGATATCTCGAGTTCTTCTGAAGCGATTTTAAAAAATCAAACGGCTTTTGATTCAGCGTCATCATGTCTATAAGTGGAACCTCAAAAACTGGAAAATTTCCAACTCCCTTTTTTTATAAAAGAAATTCTGAATATAAACACCTTTTTTTGAATATTTTGGGGGAAAAGTACTCTAAAAAAAGGGGGGGGAGAAAATTCCACTTTTTTGAGGTTCCACACCTAAAGAAATATCTAACGAAGAGAATGTCACTTCGTTTTTGGTTTTATCTGTTTTAGAAAGTTTGAAATCGATCTTACCACTAAAAATGGGCATTTTCGAAAATGACGTATATCGCCGCCATTTTAAAATAAAAATAAAAATTTTTTTTTACAAATTCTTAAATAAATTATTTATTACATGTAAAAAAAATTTCTTAAATAAATGTCACAGTTATTTTAATAGGATATATATTAAAAATCCTTCTTTTTGCCTGTTTTGAACTGGAATGTCCCCTTAAACAAATTAATATCAACAAATTTAGAGGAAGAATAATTAGGATTTAACCAAGTTTTAGTGAATGTAATAATATCATAAATATAAATATCTGACGATTTAATAAGAGTATATAGTTTAGTATTTATACCTCGATATTATTTTAATAATATAAATTTATAATTTTAATGTCTTTGTTATTAGAACTGGAATGTTGTTTCTGTAGACAAGTTGAAGATTCTTCTCTTCTTTTGCAACACAATCCTCCGTTTCTTGATATCTTTGTATTATCTCTGCTGCATTAGAGTTGGTATATATTATTATTATTATTTATTATTAGTATGGAGTAAACTTGCTCCTGGTTTTTATAGGACGATGTAACACCTGCGTTCTTTCATCTAAACGAAAACAAGTTATTTTATCAATGTCAAAATTTTCAATTAACATTCTAATAGGATCCCTAATTTTATCAATATCAGAAATCTCAGGTGTTTCAGATGCAGAATCATGAGAATAATTGTTCTCAGGAAAGTTGAATAATATTAAATTTTTCTTACGTGCTTCACGACGAGACAACTCTGCCATACAAAAATGAGTGTCACTTAATTTGTTGCAGTATCAGAAAAAGTAGCGCATCGCTTAAATTTTAAAAGCCATTTTCGATTTCATTAACTCGATCTTCAACTGTATCCATTCGGGATTTCACAGCAGTGAATTTGACCGATGTATCATCAATTTTATTGGATAAAGTATTAACGAAGAATTAAATGCCTTGAAAATCAGCCTTCATGTCCGTTTTATGGTTATTCAGGACTAAAGTTATTTGAGCACCAACAGCCTGTGTAATGGTAGTTTAGAGATTTTTTATATTAATAGAAATAATTCTCTGTTCATCTAAAGAAGATGTCGACTTTGAAAAATTCCCGTCAGAGTTCTTTTTAATTCTATTAATTTAAGGACACAGTCTTCTACAGACTTTTTACATTTACGACAAGCACAAATTTTAATTTCATGAAACGAATCGGATTTTCCTTTTTGACAGCTAGCCATAAAATCAAAGCAAATGAGAGTTACACTGTAGATTGAAGTAGTTGAAGTTTATTAACATGTTGGTACCATTTACTTGGATTGTTTTGTGACAAAACGTTCGCCACTTGTTTGAATTCATTAGATTGTTTAAATAATTATCGTTAGTATTTCTTTTGAGGTTTAATTGGTTATCGAATATTGAATTTTGACGGTTATTGACTAGTCGCAAATTATGAATTCGAACGAGGTTTGAAGGCGATATTGTAGGTATGACCATAGGAGACCGACCGAGAGAGTACGAGTGGACTAGGGCCAGTTTAGTTTCCGTGCTGATTGAAGAAAGAGCTTCACGCCGACCCTTTTTGTCATTTAATTATCGATATTACCTAATTATTGTAATTTAATTGATGATGTTTAATCGTCTCTTTATCACAATACAATGGTCTGATAGGGAGCAGATGAAATAATCTCTTCCAATAATATCTTCCGTACGTTTGGCGTCTTCTTCCATAAATGCAGGAACAACCAGTAAGTCATTCCCACATTCTAAACAGTGAAGTAAACCATTCCGCATCACGTAATTATCATTCAATACATCTTCATGTCAAGTCTCTTAAATTAACTAATTTCAATTTTTTAAAAACGTCTTCGCGTATTAAGGTTAAAACACTGTTATTGTCAACGAGAACTTTCAGGGTCTCACCTACCACGACTACCTCTTTATCTCTATCGAGATGAAAATTCATGTTATTTACTACTATTTTTGCGGTCTCCTTCTTCCTCAAAAACGAACGGGATTTCGAGGATCCACTTTTAATTGTTTTACGATACTCTTAATCTGAACTAATTTTTTCAATTTTAATTTTACAATAAAGTTGATATCAATACAAACAAATACGTAATCAGAAATGGAATGATACTCATCAAATAAGTGATGACACTGTTATTTGATGCTTCGGAGCTTACACGATGACCTTGCTTGAACGCTAATGCCCTCTAATTTTTCGATCATGTTAAAAACATACCATAACGTTATCGTCCTCTGTCACAAAATCGTATTTTAGAACTTTTTAAAGCACTATAAAATAAAAATGCAACACGATATATCAAGTGGCATCCAAAATATCTGTTATTTACTGGTGTTGACAACTTTGGACACCATTTCAAATATTTGAATTTTGAAATATAAATATAATTTTGAATTTTTTAAATATAACTTTCGATTTGTCATTAGATACCTTAGAAACCCCGAAGTAAAAATTCAATTTAAATATGATCATACAAAACAATTTTTACCATGAACTCTTTATCCCAGCTATTTTGACTATTTGAGATTACGAATTCTTTATAAAAAGTAAGTTTCCTGTGATAAACAACCATCTTTTATTTAAACCCTTTAAGAGATTGCAATCTTGTTGGGTTTTTATTTTACAGTGCTCCATTAAGTTCAAAAAATGAGATCATAGATGTTTCCTCATTCTCGAATGAGCGGGAAAGTTTGATGAAATACTCATTGCAATGTTTAAATTAAGTTCTCCATATATTCAAGCATGCATTGTGCATAGGAGAATTTATCCGTTCACACCTCTATGAAATCTTGTAAAATCTTAGTAATTTTCTAGTAACTTCCAAAAATTGTTAGTTCTAACTAGGAAGTTAGTAGCAAGATACTTAAATTTTTATCAGCTTTTCTAATGATGTGAATGGTCACAAATACTTCTGCATGTATGAGATGGTGTAAATATACTCTTACCATTTGCGAACATCTGTTTCAAACTAATTTAAGAAAACATTGAAAATTTATATATCTTTATTAATTTTATATAATTGCACTTACTGTTCAAGTTTTTTCAGGTTTGATTGAAGTTAAAAATTGATCTAATAGTCGACAAAATTCAAACTGTAATAAGACACTACAATACCAGAGTCCAATATATTAATACATGCCGCCAGACATCCAAGGTACAATTTGATGAAACAACTAAACCTATTTGAGGAAGCTGATAATTACTGAAGAACGAAATTACAATCGGTAAATACAGAATAAACGATTGCAGATATAAAATTTATCATTAAGACATGTAAATATCCAATAACAGTCATCTTATTTTGTTCCTGCAGTCTTACACAAAGCTTCAATCAGACACTACTGTGTTTGTTGGTTAGGTCAAATCTGATTTCAATGGAATGTGAGACGCTCTTAAATATGTATATATAGGGAAAATACTGACAAAGGATTCACCTCAAGTAACCAGTAGTGTCGTGAGCCAGCATATGCATTTTTAAATCGTACTTGAGAACTTATTCGTTGATGTAAAAGAATGTGTGAATTTTAAGTTTTTAGAAGTGTGTGGTTGCGAATTTGCTATTTTAATTCTAATGTATCTACTTACCTTGTGTGATGTGTCTAGTAATTCCCACCGTCACATGTAATGTGACTGACTTACCTTTGAGTAAGCGGTCGATGATTAACATCAGGATTTTGGAATCATCGTAGCATACAATCAACATTTTAATTAGAAAGTAATAGTTTTAAAATTTATGGGTGCGCTGATCCCAATCATTGAGCTCTAATATTTGCAGGTCAAATTTGCACAAAGTTTTACGTTTCAGTTGCTTTTGTATGCTGTATTACTTTCCTTTGAACGAAATTCATATCTGAAATATTTTATTATGAATTAAATAAATTTTTTATTACGTAAATTGCCATTAATTGTATAACATCGATCTTTAAAATATAGCTTTTCATAAGAGGGATTAAAATATCCGCATCTAAGAAATAATGTAGGTATTCACATACACGTAAATAAGTAAAAATACAATTAATTATGTCCACATCACTTGAAAATTCAGGGTGTCCTCCATGAATTCTAGAAATTTTCGTCAACTTCAGGTAGATAGTGATTACAATTCGCCTAAAAAATATGAAAGCCACAAAAGTTAAACAGACATTGACTAATACTTCTGATACATTATATAAAAATGCTAATTTCTGTTAGAATTCAAAAACATCTGGAGTGTTTGTAGAATATCCTGAATGACCGGTTGATGCTAAAGTGCTTTATTGAAAATTGATAAAAACAACTTATCGTTTAAAAACTTTTATCCTTACTGAATTCCAAGAGACACAAGTTTACTTCCACCTTTTCAGTAGTTTTGTCATTTGAATTAAACTATAAATTACAGATGTGTCTCAGTAAGATATTTTATTTATAATTCATTTTAAATCATAACCTAATCATGACTATATATTTAGAATAAAAAATTCTTCCAATTATATATTTGACTTTTGTTAGGTATCTGTCCTTTTGATAAAGTCTGCCTCATATTTAAGCATGCGCTCCGTTTTCATAAATTTCACTCACTGACATTAGTACTTACATTGTAAAATAAATATTAGAGTGTTGAGAGTTGATGTGCTTCACTTTTTTTCGTTGGTCGTAAAACATGTCCGATAATCAAATTCTTGAATATCTCATGACCAGATGACATAAAGGAATCAAAATATTAAATGTCTGCATCATTAAATTTTTTAAAATTTTGAGTTTTTGATATCAATTTTTCGAATTCTCAAAAACATCCGGTTGGGGTGATGTTGCAACACAAGTAATAAAATAGAAGTAAAAAGTGCATGAAATCTATGCCAATCGCGTCTAATATCAAATTATAGCTTTTTGAATACAAATTAATCTAAATCTAATGGAAAAAATTAGTTACAATTATATAATAGACCTCTGAAATGTGGAAATTTCACACCAAAAAAATAAGTTTTTTACATTTATTTTTGTATTTTCATAGCTTAAATACTAAAAGTTTTAAAATTTGTTAAAGTACTTGATATATACATATATTTAATCATGAAGCATCAATGAACTAGCAAAAAGTGAGTGTTGCACATTGTTCCAAGAAAATGTTGCATGTAACACAAAAACAACATAATATAGGAAATCACAAATCTCTTTGGATATTTAAAACTATTTGAAAAACAACAATATACTTTTATCCATTTGTAAGATAATTCGAAACAATTCAAGAAATTTATCTCGCAGCTGACAGCACATAAGCGAATCTTACAATAAAATTATCATTCATACATATCGACAAACATAAAATAAATTCAAAATTATAAAAAACAAAAATGTAGGAAAAAGTTATAACAGATGATTTGGTTAGGTTCCTTTGATTATATTGCGGTAAAATGAACTAATTTTAAATAAAATAATTTGAGCGGTCAAGCGTTTAAAACTACTATTTACATAATAACAGAAATATGTAACTACAACTTACCGTACATAGTCATTAAATTTACAACAATTAATCTATTAACGTAAAAGTTCACAAAAAAAATTTTATTTTAAAATTTAATAAACTTATTATATCTAGACTATTCAAGGACCAGGATCTACGTGAGTTTCTATATCAGACAATCGAAAATATAGCCAAACGTAAGATTCACAGCGCGAATGAATGCACTTTAGAGATGGAACATCGAACGGAAATTGACGATGCTTGTCAAGAATAAATGAAAATTTCTGAAATCGAATAGATTCGCTTGTAATTTATCATTTAAGATACTTTAAATTTTATAAAATTAACAGTGACCTTTAAAACCCCAATTAATCCTTACTTATTAATTTGAATGAAATTAATTATAAATTGGTGAATTTTAAAAGCGCAATTTCATGTCTGCAATAAAAAGAATATTAAAAGGGGTTAGGTCTTAACGGTGAAAAAAGCATGTTTTTAAGAATTTTTTTTTGGCGATACACAAAAAGTTAATTTATTTTAACGCTTTGCATATAATAGTGCAACATTTGAACAATATTTCTCTAAATTTTATTTAAAAAATATTAAGAATTGAGCAAGATAATGAGATTTTTCTCAGGCGACTCCAAAAACAATTGATTTGTGGAGATGTTTTTTGAGGTAACGCTGGGAGCTTTTTTTTAAATTACCAATTTTACAATAACAAATTCAACGATTTTTTATAGCAAAAATCGACTTTTTGTCTTTCAAGTGCTGCAAAAAATCGAAAAAAAATTCCTCCCAGCGTTACCTCAAAAAACATCTCCTTTAACAAATGAACTTTGATTTTTTTGTTTTAGATTATTCTATTGCGAGTGAGAGTGTACACCGCAAATCAATTTTTTTTGGAGGCGCCTGAGAAAAATCTCATTATCTCGCTCAATTCTTAATATTTTTAAATTAAAATTTAGATAAATATTGTTCAAATGTTGCAATATTATATGCAAAGCGATAAAATAAATTAACTTTCTGCGTATCGACAAAAAAAATTCTTAAAAATATGCTGTTTTCACCGTTTAGACCTTACCCCCTCCCCTTAAAATATAATGAAAAGTAGAAATAAATAAAAGTTCACACGCCAAGAAACTTCTGAAAACTATTTTATTTATATTAAAAGTATCATTATACTTTTTAAATTTTAAATATAATATATCAAGGCAATAGCCTTGATTAGGCACCAATTGTGAGAAAGATTTCAAAAAAATTTGTATTTCTAAAACATTTTTACTTTACACTATCAGTCAATTTCAAAAATTAAAATTTAGCGAATGAAAATTCTAAAACAATATCTCAGGGTAAAGTAAAATTATCATTCATACATATCGACACGCACTCCAAGGAAGTCAAGCTAAAATATATTTAGACAAATAATAATTAAGGAGTAAATTATAAAATAATTTGGTTTGAGATGCTTTTAAATAAATCTTGGTAGGGTGAACGAATTTGAAACTTGGAAAATTTGAAGGACAAAATCGATCAAAATTATAATTTACAAAAAATAAAAATGGTTTCCACTTACCGTAAGTAATCAATTAATTTTTCATCAATCTCGAAAATAAAATATAAATTTTTGATTAAATTCAGCATTTTTTTATTTCTGTTTATTATGCTATATGATGTTAATGAAAAACATAATTTTCTTTATCTTCTCAAGAAAAATCTTTGACAGAGATATTTAGTTCTTCTCTTCTCTTTGTAAGGTTTTCTAAATGCAGATACATAGTATTAACCAAGAGAAGCTTTCCGGTATAGAAGTAGCTCCGAAGAAGACAAGTCGCGACACGACACGATCGTCAATTTGAAATCTAAGTCCCCTGAACACTCAATACTCAACTTCTGAATTTAAATATTTTAGGGGTTACGCCACCCTGAACGCATGAAAATCTGATAGTTTTCTAGGAATTTTTTTGACGAAACTATTTTAGGTAGGAATTTTTTACATTTATTGCTAATTTAATACACATCTTAAGCTTTATAAATATTTTTAAAAAAGTTGTTTTTAATTAAAAATGGCGGAGATATAAGCATTGGCGTGGACCAGTTATTCCGGAGCACTTTTTGATAGTGTACATGATTGGCATTTCAATTTTTCTCTGAAACAAGTAAACAAATATTTTTCTTAAAAAGTGATAAATTTTGAACAGAGTGACGAAGCCGTTTTTAAAAACAAATTTTACGCAAATGGAAGCACTTCAAAAATTGACTTCATGTTTTGGGCTAAAAATACCTTATAAAAAATTGGATAAAATTTTTTTAAATTATTCAATCGAAAAAATCCCACGTCACTCTAAAAATTTATATAGGAATATGTATATTAATTTTCAAGTCAATCGGTTGAATAGTTTTTGAGTTATCATGTATACCGCCTCAAAAATTTGATTTTGAGAAAAACGCAAAAGAAGAAAAAATGTACTTTAGTGTATTATAACTAAAAAGGCGCCAAACGGCTTCCAGCAGCTCTCGGTGCGCTTGCTTGTAATGAACATAACTTTCGTAATTATTGAGACATTGTCTTCGGAGACATCTCAAAATACTCGTTAGAATATAGACTTTGAAATTAAGCAAGAAAAAAAATTCAATATTTTGAAAATTTCAGGATGGCGTAACCCCTTAAATACACATCCTTATAAAAAATTTCATTGCGCATCTTTTTTTCTTATGAATTTTTTTTCTATCTATTACCGTTTTCAAAATATTTGGGAAAAATTATCTTTTTGAAAACTGCAAATTTAATTGCATTTTTCACTTCAATACGTCTTAAGGTATACTACGAATGATAAAAAAAAGAAAAAAGTTGTTTTCTTTAAAAACAAAATTGTTATTATATTTTTTCTTTATGAAAGTTGTTCATTATGATCTAAAAAAGTTTTCTGGAAAATCATTGGGCTAATAATTAATTAGTGATGAAATGGTGTTATTATTTGTTAATATATGAGATTAATATATTTCGATGTCAGGTTACGTAGCAGAAGTTTAATTTTATCACGCTGGGAACCATACTGATAAAATTGTCTAACCTTAAAATAAATATTACGGTGCAAAATTTTTAAGTTCTACTATACAATGTGTAATTTCTGAAAGCTTAACTGCGTATGCTTTCTAGCATTTTTCTTATTGGTCAATAGAGCAAATAACTTTTAGAGTCAAGTTTACAGAAAATACTTGTTCAATGAAGCCCAATCCCTCCTATACAGTGAACTTAGTTTCCTCATTATAGGATATCGTTATGTAGGTTTATGAAACAAAACTTATACGGAACGCAAGCTTTATTATGACGGACTTGGAGATTTCCCTACTATTCACATATTAGGTGATTTTGCTGGCATTAATATTAAAATTTAATGAATTGTTTAAAACAATTTGTTGACGTTTTTCATTTTTTTTAACACTTTTATCAA